CTCGCGCAATACGCGTGAGCACGTAAGCCGTCGTGCAAAGGGCACTATCCGGACACTGAGCAGCAAGACCGCACCTGTAGCTCAGATTCCAGTACGTCAACGCGGGCTCTAAGTACGTCCGCTACCCTTCACGTCCTGTCCTCAAGCATGTCGGCGCCGGTATTTACTTCAGTATGACCTGCTTGGAATCCCAGCAAGACACCTTTCGCTTCCGCAAGCTGCCGTTCCAGTTGCATTCCTAGCTGTTCGGTGCACGCATTCAAGTCCAACGCCATCGCGCTGAATTCAAGCGTGCTGGCGCCCAAGGGCTCCTTTGCATCCTAAACGCAGGAAATAACCATTGTCAGCGGGTTCACAAACATGCTTAGAATAGCAGCACTCTAGCCCGCTCGTTGGTGGGTTAGGAGCCGGAGGCTAGGACCAAACCTAGGGTTGAAAAGCCCTTCAGGACGCTCGTGCAATGAACGTGAGCGTGTAAGTCCTGTAGTTAGGCTGCTCTTGCGTCACAAGGAGTGGCTCTGGCGAGTGGACGAAAATTGTCTACCCGTCCCGCTGCCTTGCTTTGACGCCTTGTAATGATCTCAATACGTTTTGAATTTTGCATGAATGCTATCCGGTCGTGTTGTGCAGATTGCAAGACAACGCCTAGATGACAGCACACACGAGCTTAACGTAATCGCCGAAGCGCTTGAGGCAAACACGCAACGACTGGCAGAAGCACGTGCTGTGGCTGGAGCAGCTGGAGCTGACTTGGAGGTGGAGCGAAGGGCCCGTCAGCAGCTTGAGCGGCAGATAGCAGGCTCGCTTGTTGCCGCAGCCAAAAGTTCACCTGCAGCTGAGCAGCATCACATGGGGCGGGGCCTCGCGTCGCCCAAGGGTGTCAGTTCTCGAGCATCATCACCCACTCGTTCCAGGGCCGGTTCTCCTGTCGGCAGCTCGGCGCTCGCGACAAGCTCAGGCGGAGCGTCTTCTGTGGGTACACATCATATGTCCGTGTCTCAAGGCGTTGACCGGCAGGCGGATGGGCAGGTCCAAATCTTATCTCGTGAAGTGACAGACTTGCTGTTGCAGTTGCGCAATGCCATTGTCGCGAACACGCAAGCGCAGTCCAACCTGTACGAGCAGGTGCAGTCTCACAGCCTGGGGCAGCCAGTGGGCAGCCCTGGTGCAGGGCCGCACCTCCGAGACCCCTTGGCCGCGTTGGCAGAGGCGCAGGAGCGTGTAAAAGCACTGTCGGACGCCTCCGTGCAGGCTCGGGAGGAGCTGTGTGCAGTTTCGGCGGCCAGGGATGCAGCGCTTGCACACGCAGCGGAGCTGCTTGCGAAAAACCAGCAAGCACAAGCAGAGGTGGAGCGGTTGTCGGTCGCATGCGTCGAGGCTCGTACACAGGAAACAGGGCTCAAGAGAAGGCTGGCCAACGTTAACGAGGAGGCAGAGTTGAAGCTTGTGACGTTAGAGGCTGCTAAGGAACAGCTCCTGGGCCAACTGCGGAAAGCTGATGAACGCGCACATACACTCCAGGTGAGGCAGCTGCGTGGTGTGCTAGGTGTCTTGCTGTCTTGAGGAGCGTGTATTGACGTTGTCGGTGCATTTAGGGGCTTTGAAGCTATGTTTCCTGAGTGAGGCGTTCACCCTGCAACAAGGCCAGGATCCACAATTACCCCTTTGTTTAACGTCCAGGTTCAAATTGAAGAGAAAGCAAGTGCCCTGCTCACTCTTAGCTTGGCGCATGCTGGCGATCAGGTCAAGATTACATCATTAGAGGCTTCATTGGCGGCGGCCCGGTCCATAAACAATAGCTTGTGGTCTCAGCTTGAGGCAGTAGCCAATAAAGTTGGAATGGATACATATCCCGCGGCGCCAGGGAGCCTTAAGGGCAGGTGGTCTTATAGTGGGTTGCCGTCGACAGCAGCAGCTCATAGCTCATCTGAGTCGCATGTAGGAAATATGGCACGAACACTAGGCACAGTCACACGGTCGCCGGATCTCCAGGAGGTGCCGTCGGAGGCCTGCCAAGTGCATCGCGGCCTTCAGCTTCTTCAGCCGGAATATGCAACAGAGGATGACTCCTCTGCACCAGTGATACCATCCGACGAAGTTGCCAGTCCATATAAGCGGAGTGAAACAGATGATGGAGTGCGCTTTACTGCCGTGCCTGACGTTGCAACGGCGGTCCAATCTTACATGGATTCCTTGCATCTGGACGCATCTGCTGTCCGTACACAGCTTGAGGCTGAGCTTCGTGAGGCAAGGGGCCAGATTGCTGCTGCGCTTCAGGAAGTAGCCGAATTGGGTGCTCGGGGGGCTTCCTTGCAAGTACATGACCGGCCCCACGTGGAATCGGATGGCCACCGTGTGGAGGGGCGGCACAACCTTTACTCTTCCAACGAGATTGCCGGGACGGCAATTCCCTGCGGCCTGCAGGCGCCACAACCAGAGGCCGAGCGCAGCATCAATATGGCTGATGTAAGGATTCTTACTGCCGCCAAAGCGGCGCTGCAGCAGCAGTATGAGGATGCGGAGGCCGGCCGGGCTATGGCGGAGCAACAGCTGGCACAAGCGCTGAACGAAATCAGAGAACTGCAGCGCCGGGTTTCTGCAGCCAAGGAAATGCCTGTGCTGATGCACCAAGAGATGGCGGAGATAAAGGCGTCGCATGATGAACAGCAATTTGAGGAGGCGGAAACAAGGCGCATGGCTGTGCAGGCCGAACTGGACGAGGCGGACCGAGATTATCCTGCAGGGCTTGTGGCCCTGGAAGTCGCCAATTCGGCACAGCGGCAGCATGACAAGGATTCTCCAGCTGGACGTGTTATGGTGGAGCAGCTGCTGGCAGAGGCGGTCAATGAGATTGCGGAATTAAAGCGCCGGGTCGCTGTGGGCGAGGCGCCAGCGCAACATCAGATTGCAGAGGTGGAGACATCGCGTGCCAAATTCCAAAAGCAGTTCGAGGAAGCGGAAATGGGTCGCATGTCTCTGCTGGCCGAACTGGACGAAGCTCGGCGTGACCTTTCTGCTGCAGTCGCTGGCCGGGAAGCCAAAGAAGCACTGCAGCGGCAGTATGATGATGCTGTAGCCAGTCGCGCTTTAGCAGAGCAGCAGCTGCTTGATGCACGCGCCGAAATTGAGGAACTGGAGCGGCGGGTTACTGCGGCCGACGAAAAAGAGGCGCTGGTGCTGCGCCGGGTTCAGGATGTGGAGACGTCACGTGCTGAACTACAACAGCAGCTTAGGGGGGCGGAGGCGAGCCGCAGCGCATTACAGGCAGAACTGGACGAGGCTTGGCGTGCCCATTCTACAGCTTTAGCAGGCCTGGAAGGTGCGAAAGAGGCACTGAAGCGGCAGTTTCACGATGCTGTAGCCAGTCGCGGTACGGCAGAGCAGCAGTTGGCTGAAGCGCGTGCCAAAATTGATGAGCTGGAGAGCCGGGTTTCTGCGGCCGAGGAAAAAGAGGCGTTGATGCAGCGGCAGGTTGAGGCGACGGAAACGTCACGTGGCAAACTCCAACAACAGCTCGAGGACAGTGAGGCCAGGCGCGTGTCCCTGCATGCCAAACTGGCCGATGCAGACCGAGCTTACTCCGCAGGGATGGCGGATCTGGAAGTATCTAGTGCTGCAAATCGACAGCAGTCCGAGAACGCTGACGCCAGCCGCGTTATCGCGGAGCAACGCTTGGCGGAGGCATGCACCAAAGTCGAGGAACTGCAGCGAAGGGTCTCTGCAGCAGGGGAAAAAGAGGCACTGGTGCAGTGCCGTGTTCAGGAGATGGAAACGTCACGTGCTGAACTACAACAGCAGCTTAGGGGGGCGGAGGCGAGCTGCAAGGCATTACAGGCAGAACTGGACGAAGCTTGGCGTGCCCATTCTACAGCTTTAGCAGGCCTAGAAGGTGCGAAAGAGGCACTGAAGCGGCAATATGAGGATGCTGTAGCCAGTCGCGTTATGGCGGAGCAGCAGCTGGCCGAGGCACGTGCCGAAATTGAGGAGCTGGAGTGCCGGGTCTCTGCCGTGGAGGAAACAGTTGTGTTATCGCAGCAGCGGGCTGGGGCTATCGAAGCATCACGTGCTGAACTGCAGCAGCAGCTTGAGGAAAAAGAGACGAGTCGCAACGCTTTACAGATTGAACTGGACAAAGCTCTCCTTGTTCATTCTACTGCGGTAGCTGACATGGAAGCTGCTAAGAAAGCGCTGCAACAGCAGCTCGAGGATGCCGAAGCCGGTCGTGTTATGGCGGAGCAGCAGCTGGCCGAGGCGCGCGCCATTATTGTGGACCTGCAAAAGCGTGTGTCAGCGGCCCAGGAAGCAGCTTCATCTGCGCAACAGCAGCTTGGCGAGGTTGAGGCGTCTCGCTCTGCTGCTCAACAGCAGTTGTTGGGCCTCCAATTGCAGCTATCAGCAAAGGAAGTGGAGCTAAAGGGCCTGATTGAGAGGATTGGTGCCCTGAATCAGCAGATTTCTTCCATTTGTTCTTTGGTTGAGGGCTACCACTGTATAGATGCGAGGTACGGCTTTCTAGCGTGCAACAATGTTCATCCAAACGTATATGAAGCCCGTGTTGTTGAAGCTTGCTCGAGACCCCAAGCTTTCTGCGCGGGTCATGGTTTGTGCGTGCGGTGTTCTAGCAGCGGGGTGCAGCACTTGAAAGGCAATAGTGGTAGTGCTTCAGCCGCTGAAGGCTGGACCGCGAAAGGGCGGCATGGTGGGGTTGGGCGCCGTAGCACCGTATGATGGCGCTGACGGTATGGGGAAAAGGTCTCGGCCATCCTTGGAAGGATTGGTGACGCCTATCTTAAGGACAGCAAGCCCCTAGCTCTCAAGTCCTTAAGTGCCTGTAACGTTGTAACACCGCGTTGTAAGATCCCAGTGTAATACCGGGTTGCTGGATGCGAGATGTGCGCTTCCGTTCGTGCACTTACCCGCAGACCTCTGGCGGCAGCTGCTACGACACTTTCTCTACCTGGAAATTTCGACTCCTCAAGGCCACTCAACGAAGATGTTGTGGCGTCCGTCGCGGGAATGCGGGCGTCCTTGGAGCGTCGTCTGGATGCAGTCGGCCAGGAAGCCTCTGCTCAAGCAGCCCGTGCTGCGGAGCTTGAAGCGCGTCTGGCTGAAGCGCAAATCTTAGTGGCCAAGCTGGAGGGCTTGTTGCTCACTTCCGACGCGGAGCTACGGGCTGCCACGGATCGAGTCAAAGAATTGGAGGAGCTTCTGCTTGGAAAAGAGGCGAAGTTGCAGGAGCAGGAAGTCGAAAGGCAGGCCATCGCTCAGGAGCTGGAGACATCGCAGCAACGGTTCGCGGAGTTTCAGGTAGGATAATCTTGGTTTCTTCCGCTGGTTTTAGGGGCCCGAAAAGGCTTTGAATGCAGCCTCTAGCCATGCCTGTTTCCTGACAAGGCTTGAAATGGTTTTCGACGTTTCCGTGTAGCCCATGCAGTGGGACTTTGTTTGCCACGTTTTTTTATTGGTAGCACCGCCCCTGCGCTGTCTTTTGTGCGCCGTTAATGCCAGGTGAACGTCGAGGGCGTCAGGGGCAGCGCGGAAATCGTATCGGCACAACTTGACGAATACAAAGCCATATCCCGTCAGGAGTGTGCGATAGCGGAGCAGGCCCGCGACGAAGCCATTGCAACTGCAACAGCTGCACGTGAAGAGCTGGAGTCCCTGCATGAAGCTTTAATGGCTTCGAACGCCGAGACTGAAGCATACCGCGCTCGGGTTGCCGCTGTGGAGATGGAACTCTTCAAGGTGGAGGAGCATGTAGACAGCCTGCAGCGCGGCATTCGCGATTCCGAGTCACAGATTGGCGAGCTACGAGCTGAGCTGGCAGCAGCTCAGATGGACCTCGCGGCAGCGCGCGACGAACGTGATGACGCAATGCGGCTGTTGGATGGAGCCCGGGAGGAAGCCTGCCTAAGGAGCGACGAACACCAGCAGCAGCTAGACAGGTTTCGTCAGGAGCTGGAAGCCGCTGGCATGCAGCAAGAGTCCCTCGCACGCCAATCTGCTGAGGCCATTGCCGAGAAGAACGCAGCATCCGTGCGCGCTGATGCAAACCTCGAGGCCGTTAGGAGGCAACTGGTGGAGTTACAAACCAAACTTACTGAGACGCAGGCTGAGCTCTTAGACACTGTCAAGAAGCTCGCAGATGCACACGTGCAATTGCAGGCAGCCTGCTGTGAGCGTGACAGTGCAAAAGCACGCCTGCTGGAGGCTCAAGCAGGAAAACAGGGCGAGTTGCTGGGCGCTGTAAAGGAACTGGCAGAGGCACGCAAGCAGCTTCAGGCGGCCGTTTCAGAGCGTGATGCGGCTGCAGCGAAGCTGATGGAAGCTCAGGCGGAGAAGCAGGCCGAGCTACTGCATGCCAAGTCGGAGCTCGCGGAGGGCCGGGAGCAACTGCGTGATGCCCTGAGAGAGCGCGACATTACGGCAACTAAGCATATGAAAGCCCTGGCAGAGAAGGAGGCCGAGCTGCTGCATGTTATGGCGGAGCTCGCCGAGACACAGGAGCATATGCGGTCGGCCCTAACAGAGCGTGACGCTGCGAAGGCCATGCAGACAGAGATTCAAGCAGAGAAGCATGCCGACCTTCTGCGTGTTACGGCGGAACTTGCGCATGCACGAGAACATCTGCAGGGAGCCATGTCGGAACGCGATGCTGCGGCTGCTAAGCAGGCGGAGGTTCTAGCAAAGCAGCAGGCCGAACTGCAACATGTCAAATCGGAACTCGCAGAGGCACGGGAGCAGCTGCGGACAGCACTCTCCGAGCGTGGCACAGCGGAAGCTGCACAGGCAAAGGTTCGGGAAGAGCTGCTGCACGCTACTGCAGAACTTCACGCGGCACACGAGCATTTGAAGGCAGCCATGTTAGAACGTGAGACTGCGGCAGCTAAGCAGGCGGAAATTGAAGCGGAGAAGCTAGGCGAGCTGCTACAGGTCAAGTTGGAACTCGCCGAAGCAAGGGATCGGCTAAAGGCAGCTCTATCAGAGCGTGATACTGCAGTAGATATGCGGGCAGAGCTTCATGCAGAGAAAGAGGCTGAGTTGCTGCGTGTTACGGCCGAACTTGCAGAGGCACGGGAGCATATGCGGGGAGCTATGATGGAACGCGACGCTGCGGCAGCCAAAGCTGAGGGAGTCCTTTCAGAGAGAAATGCTGAGTTATTGCACGTAAAGGCGGAACTTTCGGAGGCACGGGGGCATTTGCGAGCAGCCGTGGTAGAGCGTGACGCCATGGCCGCTAAGATGGTAGAGGCTCTTGCGGAGAAGCACGCCGAATTGCTGTCCGTTAAGGCGGAGCTTATGGAGGCGCATGAGCAGGTGCGAATAGCCTTGGCAGAGCGCGACGCTGCTGTTGCGAAGCAGGCGGATACCAGGGCAGAGAAGCAGGCCGAGCTGCTGCGTGTTACGGCGGAACTTGCGCAAGCACGGGAGCATCTCCAGGAAGCTATGTCAGAACGGGAAATTGCAGGGAGTAAGCAGGCGGCACTTCAGGCGGAGAAGGATGCCGAGCTGCTGCAACTTAGGTCTGATCTTGCGGAGGCGAGCCGACAGGTTCGAGCAGCTATTTCGGAACGCGACGCAGCAATGGGCAAGCAGGTGGAGGTCCAAGCAGAGAAACAGGCGGAGCTTCTTCGTGTCCTGGCAGAACTTGCGGAAGCACGAGAGCATCTGCGAACGGCCCTGACAGAACGTGACTCTGTTGCAGCTAAAATGGTGGAGGCTCTTGCAGAGAAGCAGGCGGAACTTCTGCATGCCAATGCGGAAATTGTGCAGCTGCACGAGCAGGTGGCTAGACAGGCCGAAGTACAAGCAGAGAAGGAGGCTGAGCTGCTGCGTGTTACGGCAGAATTTGCGGAGGCTCAAGATCTTGCGGCAGTCCAGCAGGTAGAGCTGGCACATGCTACAGCCGAATTAGTAGAGGCGCGCGAACAGGTGCAGGTAGCTCTTTCGGAACGCAACACTTTGGTTGCCAAGCAGGCAGAAGCGCTTGCAGAAATCCAGGCTGAGCTGCTGGATGCCAAGACTGAGCTCGCGGACACAAGGGAGCATTTGCAAGCAGCCATATCCGAACGCGACGCTGTAGCAGCGAAGCATGCTGGAAATCTTGCGGAGACTCAGGCCCAGTTATCGCACGCCATGTCCGAACTTGTGGCGGCCCAGGAAGAGCTGCGGGCGGCCGTAGCAGAGCACGACACTTCTGCAGTTAAAATGGCGGAAATCCTTGCAGAAAAGCAGGCTGAGCTGCTGCACGTTACTGCGGAACTCGCGGAGGCACGAGAGCAGCTGCGGGCAACTGTCTCGGAGCGTGACGCCGCGGCTGCGGAAACGGCTGAAGCTCAAGCAGAGAAGCAAACCGAGCTGCTTCGTATCGGGACGGAACTTGCGGAGGCAAGAGAGCAGCTGCGGACAGCCCTGGCAGAGCGCGACGCCGCGACCGCTAGGCAGGCTGAGTTGCAAGCTGAGAAGCAGGCCGAGCTCCTGCGTGTTCTGGCGGAACTCACAGAGGCAAGGGAGCAGCAGCGAAAAGCCTTGCTGGAGCGCGACGCTGTTGCCGCTAAACAGGCCGAGGTTCAAGCAGAAACCCAGGCGGAACTGTTGCATGTGACGGATGAACTTGCGGAGGCAAGGGAGCACCTGCGAGCAGCCATGTTGGAGTGTGACGCTGCGGCGGCTCAGCAAACGGAGGTTTTGGCAGAGAAGGAGGCTCATTTACAGCATATTATGGCGGAACTTGCGCAGGCTCGAGAGCATCTGCAAACAACGGCTGCAGAGCGCGACGCTACTGCATCTAAAATGGCGGAAGTTCTTGGAGGGAATGTAGCGGAACTGTTGCGCGTGAAGGTGGAGCTTACGGAGCTACGGGAGCATTTGCGGACAACCATGTTGGAGCATGACGCAGCAAATACTAAGCATGCCGAGGTTCAAGCAGAGAAACAGGCCGAGCTATTGCATGCCAAGTCCGAACTTGCTAAGGCACAGGAGCATCTCGGGGCAGCCCTCACAGAACGCGACGCTGAGGCGGCTAAGCATGCCGAGGCCCAAGCAGAGAAGCATGCCGAGCTTCTGCATGCTACAGCGGAGCTTGCAAAGTTGCGCCAGCATCTGGGGACAGTCTTGGCAGAGCGTGACGCAATCGCAAAACAAGCGGAGGTTGTGGCAGAGAAGCAGGAAGAGCTGCTGCGTGCCACAGCGGAAAACGCGCAGACGCAGGAATATATGCAGACAGCCCTGGCAGAGCGTGACGCTGCTGCTGCTAAGCAGGCAGAGATTTTGGAAGAGAAGCAGGCTGAGCTGCTGCGCGTTACCTCACAACTTGCAGAAGCCCGGGAGCAGCTGCGGGCTGCCTTGGCAGAGTGTAGCACGGCAACCGCTAAGCAAGGGGAGATTTTGGCAGAGAAGCAGGCCGACCTCCTGCGCTTTACGGCGGAACTCGCGCAGGCACGAGAGCAACTACGGGCAGCCCTTGCAGAGCGTGACATAGTTGCAGCTAAGCGAGCTGAGGTCGAAGCGGACAAGCAGGCAGAGTTGCTGTGTGTTACTGCACAACTCGCCGAAGCACGGGAGCATCTGCGTGCTGCACTGACGGAACACGACGCGGCGACCGCTAAGCAAGTGGAGGTTCTGGCGGAGAAGCAAGCCGAGCTGCTGCATGTTCGGGCAGAACTCGCGCATGCACGAGATCAGCTTCGGGTAACCATAGCAGAGCGCGATGCTGCAGCCGCTAAGCAGGCAGAGGTTCGCGAATCCAGGCATGCCGATTTGCTTCGTGCTACGACCGAGCTCGCAGAGGCACGGGAGCAGCTACGGGCAGCCATTTCAGAGCGCGACGCTGTGGCAGCAAAACAGGCGGAAGTTCTGGCAGGGAAGCAGGCCGAGCTTCTCAACATGACAACGGACTTGGCGCAAACACGGGGACAGCTGCACGCAGCCCTGTCAGAGCGCGATAATGCTTTAGTAAAGCAGGCAGAGGCTGCTACCAGGCTGTCCTTAGCTCGGGAGGCTGCAGATGCCAAGCGCGCTGAGCATGAGGCGACTGTCAAGCTTCTCGAGACAGCTCTGGCAGCCAAAGACACGGCGTGTAGTGATTTGTCCAGCCTACGATCGGAGTTGCTGACCGCTGTTAAAATGCTGTCAGATGCCCAGGCTGAGCGGGACACTGCTGTACGTCAGTTGGAAGATTTGCGGGTTGAGGTCCGCGGTTTGCAAAGCGAGGTTCCCATGCTGGCAAAGCACCTCATTGAGGCGCAGGAACAGTCACAGGATGCCTGCAATCAACATGAAGCCGCGACTGCCAGGCTGCTTGAGTTGGAGGCCCAGTTGGTTGCAACGGGACAGCTGTTGGCCTCCGCGCATGAAGCTATTGAATCTAGGCGCGCGGAGCATGCAGTTGCAATGGAGCGCTTGGATACAGTTCTTGCTGACAAGGACAAGATGTCGACCGACCTCGCAGAAGCACGGTCTCAGGTCCTCACAGCTCTGAATGAGCTGTCAGAAGCTCGCGCGCAGCGTGATGCCGCGCTGCAGCAACTTAATGCGGTACGGGACGTCCTGACGGCCATTGAAGATGAGAGGAGCAGCTCAGCTGCCGCTGCGGCAGTCACCGCAGCTGTGATGCGCGAGCAGCAACGGACCGTGGAGGCACAGCAGCGCAACCTGGATGCATCACGCGCCAGTGAAGCAGCACGCGTTGCACAGCATCTGCGTGCTTTGGAGCTCCGTGCAGACGACCTGACTCAGCATGCGGAGGACCTGCAACGCCGCCTTAACGCCGCAGAAGCACATCTATCATCCGAGCGGGCCGAGGCACAAGTGGTCCGGGCCCGGCTAGAGCTACATCTGGCATCTACACGCACCGAGCTTGAGGCTACGGCCGCAGAGCGCACTGCTGCATTGCAACAGCTCGCTGCTGCCCACGCGGAGCTCGTGGAGGTTACTGGTCGTTGTGCTGACCTGGAAGATAAGATCGTCACGGTAGAACAGCTGTGCGAGCTGGTAAAAAGCCAGCTGGATGCGACAAAGCAGCAGCTCCTGGAAGCCGAAGATCGCGCGGCAGCCGATCGGATCGGCGCCGAAACAGCACAGGCCAAGGCAGAGGAGTTGCAAGGCAAGTTGCGCGCTGATCTTGCAGCTGCTCATGCTGAGCTCGTGGCAGTGGCGGCGCAGCGGGATGCGCTCGATGCGCAGCTTGCGGTCCTGCTGCCCACCTTGAGCGCGGCTCAGGCTGAGCATGCGGCAGGAGTGCGGCAGTTGAAGAACCTGAAGGGGGATCAGGCCCTTCTTGAAAGCCAGCTTGGCCCGCTTGAGGAACACGCCAAAGTCCTGGAGCAGCAAGCTGAGAACCTGCGCCAGCAGCTGGTCATGACGGAGGCGCGACATGTGGCGGAGAAGGCCGAGACGCAGAATGCTATCGCTCGGCTAGAAGCACACCTGGAGGCCGTCCGAGCGGACCTTGCGGCTTCTACCACGGCGCGAGACGTGTCGGCGCAACAGCTGGCGCAGCTTCGGTTGGAGAACCACGAGCTGGTGGGCATACGTGCGTCGCTGGAGGGTAAGGTGCGTGGGCTGCAACAGCACGCGGAGCACTTGCAGCATCAGATCGGAAAGCTGCAGGAACAGTTAACGGGTGCTGAAGTTCGCCTGGCTGCGGAGCGAAACGAGGTACATTCGGCCCGGATGCAGGCAGCGGCCGTCCGATCCGAGCTTGCTGCGGTCATGACTGAGCGAGATACGGTATCCAGTCAGGCTGCTGCCCTCAGAACGGAACTCGCTTCCATCCGATCTGAGCACGAGTCAGCTGCACAGCAGCATGCCTTGACCCTGCAAGCCAAAGCTAGCCTGGAGGAACAAGTGAAGTCCCACCAGCATGAAATTGTCCAGCTGGAAAAACAGCTGGAGCGTAAGGCAAGGCTGAGGGAACAGCTAACAGACGCGGATGCAAAGCTTAGGGCAGAGCGTGAGAGCCATACCGCTACCCAGGGGCTGCTTGCCGCCGCCAAAGCTGAGGTCAGCCAGGTGCACGGGGAGCTTGCCGCGCTACGGAAAGAGCTTACAACGGCTACGAAGGAGCTGGCGGCACAGCATACGTTGACAGAGTCGCGCATCGGCGAGATGCAGGTGAGGTGGGCTTTGGCATGTATGTTCCTGTGATCGGAGCATCTCTGGTCCTGCCACTTAGTACACTTAGTACACTGCATAGCGGTACGAATTCTGCTGGTGTATTCTTTAAGTATGCAGCTGCAGCAGAATCGAGTCGTCGTGTCCTCTGTTGGGCCCAATGTCGGCCTACCCTGACCGACGGCGTTATCCGTGGCCATGCCAGGTCAAGGTGGCGCAAGCTCGAGCGCAGGCATCGGAGGAGTCTGACAAAGTGCAGCGGCTTAAAGCTGAGCTTTTGGAAGTAGCTAAGGCGCGGCAAGACGCTGAGCGGCAGCTAGTGGACCGGGACGTTGACGCCAAGGGCATTGCAGCTGGTCTTGAAGCAGCTCTAGAGGCCACGCGTGCGACTCTAGAAGCGGAACGGGCTCGGGGCGAGCAAAAGGCGAAGGTGAGCCCGTTGGCCGTTGCCATGAGACATCGAGCGGTACCCGATGTCCGCTTGCAGTTCTGATGTGTACTTACTGCAATCTCTCCATGCGCGTCCAGGAGCTGCAGGATCTTCTGCACGCCGCAACGACGAGAGAGGCATCTGCTCACGAAAAGCTCAGTCAACAGCGAGACGAGCTCCACGCTGCGTGTGACGCTCAGAAAGCATCGCAGGCTGCTGCGGATGCGAGCATTGCTTCAATCAAGGCAAGTAGTATTCGGCGGCTGATGTTGGGAAGAGGGAAATTTTTAACGTTGCCGGCCCTTATACGTGCAGGAGGAACTGCGCGAGGCCCAGCAAGCCCTGTGTGATGCACAGGACGCTGCTCGCATAAAGGAGGCAGAGCTGAGGGCTAGCGCACAGGTCTGTTCTTCTTGGAGGACATGCTATAACTGGGCTCGTATCCGGCGTCCAACCTCCGGTGGATGTCGGCGGGCAACCTGCTATTTTTACGTGCCAATAACCCTACGCGTGGTGTCTTGTTGGCTGCAGGCGGCCCAGCAGGCTTCCGTGGCCGCGCAGCAGCGAGTTTTGCTTTTGGATTCTCAGCTCTCGACTGCACGTGCAGCTGAGTCCGACGCCCAGCGGGCCTTGGCAGAGGCCAGGCAGAACATCGGCAAGCAGGAAGCTGAGGCCGCAAGTCGGATTATGAGCCTCGAGGTGCGAAAACCGTTTTTGCTTACTTTTTGGCCATCACCCGAGGGGGCTGGTTACTCACACGCTATGTGCCCCGACTACCCGCAGGCTGACCTTGCTGCGGCCAAGGAAGCTATTGCCAGCCTGGAAGACCATCAGAAACATGCCGTGGAAGCAAGTCGTAATGCAGAGGAAGAGCTCCGTCTCGAACGTGAACGGATGTAAGTGTTGATTGAATCCAAAGGTGGAAGCGGGCGAGGGTCATGGTTTCCGGGTTTGTCTTATGCTTTCGCGTAGGGCAACGTAGGTAAGCATGTACACACTATACTCGATTATTATAATTTTTAAGCAAAATCACATTTGCGACTTTTCTTGGTTATCATTACCTTTCATGCCCGCCTGTTCCTTTAAACTTGGTCCCAAAAATATGAGAGACCACTCTTATTATGTTCCCATATCGTTTTGTTACTTCTTCAAACAAAAGAGTTTGGGGCTTTAAGCTCAATAATTTTAGCATCTTTATCGATAATAGGAGAGTTATTGACGGAGTAAATTGGCAAAAACGGAAGGCTATAAAACTATATCTATATTATACATTATCTGCTCCTCCTTCAATATTTTTAGGCCAGGGTAATATAATGTTAAGATACGCCCTGTACTTAGAAAATTTTAATTAATCGGGACAATTTTCTATAGCGTTTTATTGTGAATTTGCCAATTAAATGACGTAAATGTTTGCTAATTTAATGGCATTAAAACACCAAATAAAATAATACGTAGGGGATTTAGTCTAGGTCTAACACTTACCTAATCAACCTAATCAACCTAATGTCGATATAGTCTAGTTTAAGGTCAGCCCAAATTTTATCTGCCGTATAAATGGGTATCCCAAGTTTTATACCCAAGCTAATACAAGCTCTACAAGAGATAAACCCTACATTTTTTGTAGATTTCTTTAAGCTAGCACAACGTATAGAATAATAAAAAATCAAAAGCTACTATGGAATCGATAAAAGGCTCAATAGCTTTGCTTACTTGTTGCGTGTTCATCTCAGAATCAAATGGAAGAGAGGCTACTTATGAAATATTTTTATACTAGACCTTACTATACTACCTGATAATTCTTCCACTACAGAACTGCCGAAGAATCTAGTATTACCTTATTCTTTTTTGGCCTCTGCTCTACGCTCTAGAATTAGCTTAGCAACCAAACTTTTTTTTGGTCATGATACTGATTTAATCATTTCACGCAATATTCCTCGAAAAACAATTCCTAGATTTTTTTAGTTCTATGCTTAACCGTAGCAAATGTAGATTCAATAGGATTAGTTGTCCGTAAATGTATCCAGTGTTCTCCTGGAAAGTCGCAAAAGGCCAATGACTTTTTTCATTTTTCTGTAGCTTTAGGATACTTAGCAGAAGCCGAGTTCATTTTTCCAACTGAATTCAGCTTCTTCTCTGGCTTCGAATTTTTAAGTGTGTAAATTCGAAATATGCACTTAGATTCTACCCTCAAATTTTATCAAAAAATGGGCCATAGCTTCTCCCTAATTTTGAATGGGCAACTCCATTTTCGCGTAATGAAATATACTGTCAAGCCGTGTATTAAGGGGGCAAAGTCCCCTAAAAATTATCCCTGCTAGGAACGCAAAAATAGTATGGCACTGTCAACAAAATAGTTTAAACAATTCAGCAAGAGCCAAGCAATGAAGCTGAGGAAAGTAGAATCAAGATTGTCAAAACGCATTGCAATTCTTTTGTTTTCCTTCAGCTCACCGAAAAGCCTTTCACTAATATGTCGTTTTCGATAAAGTTTAGTATCATAAAAATCTTCTGGGGTTAAGGCCGAAATATTAGGTGAATAAATCCCTTCAAACGGTATAACAGGAGCAGCTCCTTTGCTAATATTCCCGGTATCGTATCCTTTATTTGCAACTACAAAACCGTTTTTTTCCCAAGGCCAATCTTGCCATAACTACTCGACTGTTTTACACACTGCGATTTTCACTATTTCTTGTAGTCAATACCAGAAGTTTGTAAACGACGCTATTGCCGCGGATGCAGGTCGCAGCTCGAGCCACGCCTAGCAATGCTTGCCGACGAGGTGGCTGCACTCCAGGCCGAGCTTGCGAACGCACGGTCTGCACTTCACCGCTATGAGGCTTATGCTGTCGATGCAGAGGTATGTGTCGTGCTCGGATCCAAGGACGTGACGCTGCTGCTCGTGCAGACGGGCAGACGGCCTAACTGTAGAGGCCTGGACTTTATGCTTGTACGGTGGTGGGGCTTCTGTATCACAGTCCTTGTGTTGCATCATGGTTTTTGTGAAGCAGCGCTTCATATTCAGATTACACGTGCAAGGCTGCACTAATTAATGCACAGCTCAGTGTCGCGCCTTGCCTCTCATCTCTTGCCCCTGCTTGAAGGCCGAGATACAGGAGCTGCGTACCGCAGCTGAGGTTAGCTCGGCGGAAAACTTGCGTCTGCAGCAGCAGCTAGACCATCTGGTGGACCAGCTGCGCCGCCAGACGCAGCAATTGCGGGCTGCAGAAGCGGACACGGCACATTTGCGGGAGGAGGTAAGTGGGTGATACACCTGCATGACGGTAGCCCGTAACGGCGGGCTGTCAACGTTTCTCATACACGCCTATACGCAGGTTGCCGCCATGAACATTATGGGTACGGCCGCGCGGCGGTCGGGGAGCAGCATTTCGCACGGCCGCTCAGGGGAGAGGCGGCACGGCTCGGCTGGAAGGACGGCGGTGGCTGGTGGCCGCCCCTCCAGCGGATCCGCCAGCATCCTGGAAGACCAGCTCAACCATTCGCAGCAACAGATGCTCATTTTGCGCAAGCCGCACCACGGAAGCCGGCACCCGTCACCTGCGATCGCTTCCGCAGCTTCGGCGGTGAACAACCCCGTGAGCCGGACTGGTGAGGACCAGGCCGGGCGGCCAGCACGGCCGCGGGCAAGCTCCGTAGAACCCCGTCCGCTACCGGTCGCGACGGCACAAGAGCGGCACAGCGGCGACGCCACGGCAGACACAAGGTCCATGAGTCCTACGTCGTTACTGCAGAAACGCCTGACGGACGAGGCAACGCAGCTGCGTTGGGAGGTGGTGGCCGACAGCAGCCGAGTACGTGAGCTGCAAGAAAAACGTGCTGGTGGAGGTAAGCCAGTGCTTTTACCTTTATCTGAGCCAATTTCGCCTCGTGACCCTGCTGGAGGACCGTCAGGTTTTGTTTGCGAGTATCTTTTGGTGGATCTCATTCTTCCTGCAGTTTACTTACCTGCAATCCTACATCTGCCCCGCCATGGCTGCAGTGTATTTGACTCGTGCGGAGGTGTCCGAGATGGAGCTGCTCACAGCTCGTCTGGGAGCCCACCACGCCCGCATCTCCGCAATCATGGATACGGTGAGGCTCGCGCGGAGTGGTCAGCCTTACCCACATCCGCAATTGCGGAAAGGTGGGGTAGAGCCTCCTGCATATCTGGCAGCCGAGGCACAGAACGGCACAGCACCACATGGAGCTGAGGCTCGCAGGTCCAAGTCCCCAACGCAAGCCGCATTTGCTGACATCCATGGCAAGCGAAACGCGTACCAACAGCCTCCACCACCGCAACAGATTCGCGAACACCCATCGTCGGATCTGGAGTTTCCAGACCAGCCGCGGCAGCAGCCGATGTTCCACCCACATCCACCCGCGCATCCACCGGGTAGTGGGGGAAGCAGCGGTGCTGACGCAGCCCCTGGGCTGGTGCACCGGTCTCCTCAGGCGGTTTCTCCGGCCGGTCGGGGCATGGGCTTAAGCCCAGGGGGCAAGCTGTTGGAGAGCCCATCCCGGATGCGCTTCTTTGACCTGGAGACCCGGGCGGAGCCAGCCGAACTGCCGCGTGCCGCAGCCTCTAGGACGGATAACCAGCCTCCCTCGCGACGGGAAGTGCTGGACAGTCGTGATGAAACTGGGGCCTTGAGTAATACGGCCAAGTATGCCCGTGAAATGCGCCGGCCTGGCGAGGCGACTCCGAACCGGCCTGCCAGCTCGTTGCATGTCGGCATGGAGTACGGCGACGGAAATAGCCCTGCGCAGGTGCAAAGCGGCAGCGACAGTGTGAGCCCTCAGACGCTTGGGCTCATCTACCGTTCATTCCCGTCGCCGTCAAACCAAAGCGTCCGGTCCACCGTGGCCATCATAAACGTAAGCCCGTGGTATCCGCCTGGCCCCACACCGGGCCGGGTTATCTCGCCTGTGCGAGCCGCTTCCCCGGCCAACCTGGCCGGTAGGGCTGTGATAAGTGCGGTTGACACTCGGGGGAATTTCGGAGGCCGTAGTGCTGGGACTACGCCGGTTCGCGAGCGTACTTGTGAAGGCGCGCACGAACCTCGTACCGTTGAAACTGACGAGGCTGTAGGCATCGCGTCATCCGTGCTGTCTGTTGTAGGCGGGGAGGCGTTAGGCGTCGGGCCCGGCGGGCCTGGCGCAGGCGTGGGTGGCGCGCCCCGGGCGGCCACCCGTTACCGCACGCCATACCTGAGGATGCTGCAGGACATGGTAATGCTTGGAGTGGGCGGCGGCGTCGGGGGCCGGGGAGGCGGAGCATCAGGGACTGCTCGCCGGACCGGCTCCGGTGGCAATGAAGCTACACGGCCCTCGAATGGCGTCATGAACGCGGCAGCGCCGCAGCATCCGGGCAGCGGCGATGCCGGGCATGACACTTTGGCCCATTGGGGTTCTGGTGGGGGAGCGGACGGCAGCCAGGGGGTGTTGTCTTTGCAGGCATCGGCAGGTGCTTCGCACAGCCGGGGGCCATCGCCATGCAGAGAGCACGTAAATCGTTTAGCATACATGCCGACCGATATGGGGGCGGCCTCGCCATTGAACGGGCTTGGGAACGGATCGTCGTACATGTGACATGTGATCACACCCTCACCAACATATTCTCATTATACGCTGTACATACGAATCATGCGTTTACTGCTAGTGCCGATGCTTTGTACAGAGGAGTATGCCTAAATATGCATGGAATGCTTTGAATTCATCGAATGCTGCAGGGTGGCATTTTCCTTGGCCATGACCAGCTTGTGAATAGTAAACAACGGTGCGCGTACATTGATTAGTTCCCACCCCCGATGCACTTTACAGGCCTTGGTAGCTACCTTGCGAGTTGTCGTCGGGTTGGAGTTAGAGGAAAGCAGGCAACCTTATCCTAAGCACGCATAACAATATACCATACAATCCTGTTCAGTTATGTGCGCGCGGGATTCATTATTGCGATGTCGAAAGCTTATGTGTTTCTTGCGACACTTGGAACTGATTGTGTTTACTTAGGCCTTGCTTACGTAGGACACAGCAAGTTACCATAGGCGATGATTAGCTCACACCTGCGTGACATTCGCATGGTACATGGTGTGGTATTCACCTGTAGGACTCTTAGACTGTAGGCTCTTAGAGCCAAATGAAGGTAGGACTTGGTTCGCGAGCACATACGGCGCTGCCATAGCAGGGTAGAAACTTATGTCTTCACGGCATTGTTTTGGTCTTTCTTGGACGACTGCAACGGCCGATAACCATCGGGGGAGATTTGGAGTCGTATCAGGGGATGTACTGCAACTGTACTGAGATTCTTATGCATACGTCTATCGTGGCCATTTCTCTGTATCTATATATCTTATATCTATATGGACGCATGTACCTGAAGTCCGGCTGTATATATGATGCATAGAATGCCTTGTGCAATACTGTATAAAGCCGTTTTCGCATCCTGGGTCCATGCCCTAGAAGTTCTGCGACCCAAAAGGCGTGGGGGCCCAGTTTGATCGACAGATCCCCTTGAGCCCGTTACGTTCCGTACGAAACGCTTAGGTTTAGGTCCCTGCGCGACTGGAAAAGTATTATCTTTTGCCGATTGCCCGAGGTCACTGAAGTAAAACCCGGTTCGATCCATAAATGCGGTGAAGTTTTCCCCGTGATTCATTGGTTAAAGCTCTCGGCCATCGAAGCAAGCACCCGGAACCCTTCCAGCCCACCTGGTCCATACACATAATTATCACTTCTGGCTACCAGGGGAAAAATGGGTACGTGAACCTCCGCTTCCAGCCGACTCAATGGATTGTACGACCCATTCCCTTCAATCACACCGGGAGACGAATAAAAGTACACGGGCATTTGTAAGGCTAGTCATCCAGCCATTCTCGCTTTATTTATAACAGACCACAATCCTGAGTCCATGGCACGTGCAGGAACTCTTCGCAGTACCATACATTTGTTGTCATCCCCACGCTTAAGTTCATTCACCCGCCCTGCACACGTCATCACAACTTCAACCCCCGAAGCCAAAAAACATACATACGCATATAAACTTAGGAGCAATGCCAACTGAACCAGGTGGCACCAGCTGCGTCTTAACAACAGGTGTTGGCACGGTCGAAGTTCAGTCCAGACATAGTTAGCACCGGCATCAACATCTCCCATCTGACGTCTCACAGGCCCCCAAAGCCGGCCCACAGTTGCTCGAGGGTTTCAACGGAAGAAGCCATCACACCATCGGCGGCGGCGGCAGTGGCAGCGGCGGGGGCGAGGATGAAGCCGTCAGCGAACCCCCCCTTGGCGTTGCCGCTGTTGATGTGGTGATAGTGAAACGCACCTGCACCACCCCCGTCCTGCGGCCGCCGTCACCTATAAAGAGGGCTACATACGGAGTACCAGGCTGCAGGAAAGGACACCGCTGGCAGCGCCGCGCGTAAAACGGGCCCCCTGCCGACGGCAGTGTGCCGTTGAGCGCCATTCCAAAGCTGGTTGTGCACTCATCCACTGACGCGCCTCCAGTCCCCGGCGCGGCACCGGCTCCGGGACCGCCAGCTGCCGCCACCCCAGTCGGAACGCCGCTGCGAACTGTGAGCGTGTAGTTGGTGTCCTTCAGGTGCACGTCCACCTGGCCACACGCCACGGCAAAGTTGAACAACGCCGCTCCGGGAGCCGCCGACCCCTCCGCCATGTCCACTACGTCATTCGCCGCCACACCATCCAGGCGCAACGCATCCCCAGTCGCCATCAGCCTCCGGTGGTGTCCCCCTCCTCCACCAGCTCCACCGCCGCTGTTGCCGCGGAAGGCCCTCGTCCCATATCCCGCGGCTGGCGACCACCACCACGTCAGCAGGCCTTGTTGCCAAGACCCGGTGCTGACGTCGCCTCCGTGGTGGTTACGATGGTGGTCGTGCTTGAGGTAGGGCTCCGGGGTTTGTTGATGAAAGGACATCGAAGTCAGGCCGCCTACACCACCGTCGCTGCTGCCGCTACAGCCGCTGGTGGCGCTATTCCCGGGTATGGCTTCCGCTGGTGCTCGTGGGTTTGCAACTGACGTGGCGGCCCAGACAATCCTCCGCCGCCTGGTTGGGGGTGAGGGGTTTTAGGGTTTTAGGGGTAAGGACCACCATCAATATTACATATACGCTAATATAACTTCCTATTCACTAAAGAGGCACCCAATTTTTGACGAATCTAATGAAACGCTTTCCTTGTCATATACCCTCTTTGCTTATCCCCTTTGGTTTCCATAAAATACAGAACAAGTAGGGGCGATGTCATTCGTGGGGAGGATGGCGGCAATGGGAATGGCGGGGACGACGAAGTACTAGGACAGTTCCCCACGCTTCGTGTCAGGGCCCTTGAGGATCACCTGGCTAGCCAACATCCCACTCCCTGCGCCCCCGCCGCACTCCTCTACCCGCAATACAGCAACCTCCCAGACTGATAGACATGAGCAACATCATACACGGGGGTTAACGACAGAGGTTCACTCAACTCCCTGGGACGCGCTTCCTCACCTGTCGGGGGTTCCCCTACCCCCCCGGCCTCCTGGTGGTGACGAGCCTTATTGGTGACACACCTCATACACACAAACGCACCTCTCCGGCTGAGCCCCGCCGCCGTTACCGCTCGCAGCCCCTCCCGCCGCTCCTGCGGCTGCCGCTGCCGTTGCTGCCGTCGTCACCGCCTCGGGCACCACCACGTAGTAGACCGCCGCTGCCTTGTTCAGTTGCATCCTCAAACTGACATATTCCGCACCAACTGCCACCACCTCAGGCCCCGCAGTGAAGGTGGTACGGCCCAGCTTGTCCCAGGGCACCAACAACCCAACCAACAGTCCAACTGCCAACAGAAAAACCAGCACCCAAGCCATGGCAAGCCAAAGTGTGCGACGCGTGGTCCAAGAGTATTGCCAGGCGGCGTAGAACCTGCAGCAGCAGCAGCAGCAGCAGCGGGTGACCCCCTCGCAAGTCGGAGGGTGGATGTGTTGAGAACGGAACCGACAGGCGGACGCTGGTGGACCCCTGGGTTGAGAAAGTGCCCCGCGCGCGTGTGTATGTATATGTATGTACGGGGGGTTGTGTGTGGCTCTCTGGGGTTAGGGGGGCCCCGGAGGGGGAGGGGCCCTCCTTATAAAAGGGGAAGCGGGAAGGGGTGCACGCTCTCGTCTACGGGTATTCCTCCGGGTACACCTCCGGACCCCGACACGCGGCCCCCCGCCATACACACGTCCAACAGAGACGCACCTCCAGCATTGATGTGCCGGGTGCAGCATGTACGGCAAGAATATGATGAAGTACGGCCGCCGCCCGCGTTTGGATACCGAACGTTCCCGTCCGCCGCCTCCAACGCCGCCGCCGCCTCCTCCCGCCCCAACTCCCTCCATGGCGCTGATCCGCACCCCCATTCCTGCTGTCCCAAACCGACTTCCCCCCATTCTCTGCTGCATCACGGCAGAGGGAAGTGGCCCTCGAGCCCCGGGGGCACCCGGAGAGCCGCCGAAGCTGCCGCCAGCCCGACTGGTCCCGTCCGCTGCAGCAGTCTCTGACGACTCCGCCGCTGCCAATGCCGCCTCCGCCAGCATTGCCCCATCCGCCGCCGTCGCGCCCGCTGGCTGGTTGTTCAGCCCTGCCCTCAAGTTCAAGCGCTGATTCCGCCCCGCAGCTGCCGCTGCCACCGCCCCTGCTGTTCCCCTGCCAAGCATGTCCAGGGAGGCGCTGACCAGCGGCGGCGGCACCGCTGCCGTCGCCCCCACCGCCGCCACCGCCAGCTGTTGCTCTCGCGTGAGCTGCCTGGCTGCAGCCGCCGCCACTGTCGCTGCCGCCAGCTCTCGTTCCCGGCTCCGCAGCTGCTGCCGGACATTATCGTTTTCCGTTGTCAGTTGCTGGAGTTGTTGCTGTTGGGCCTCCAACGTCAGCAACAACTTCCTGTGGATGTTGAGCGGGGGTTCAGGGTTTGGGCTCCAGTCATACACCGGGGGGTGCGCAGTGCGGCGTCCCTTTCCTTTCTTCTCAGTCAAAGGAGAGGGAGATTGACACGAGAGTCGGCTCGGTTAGGGATGTAGGCGCGGGTTTAAGCCATTGGCTTGAAAGCAAACCGACTGGGTGTGGCCCTCAGCTGAGCCCTCAACAACCGCTGCGCCCCGCGCTACACGCACACACGCCCCCTCCTCGGCCCCCTCCTCCTAGCCACCCACCTGATCTCCTGCTGATCATGATTGTGCAGCTCCTTGAACACCTGGGGGGGGGAGGGAGGGCGGTGTGCAGGGGTCCCCGGTGGAGATGCTGTGCTGAGAGGTGGTGCGGACATATCGGTGAGCTGAGACCGCAATGAGTCTGTTCGGGGTGTGTAATTACTTGTGGCCGCGTGAAAATTATGGCCGAATAAGGGCTCATGGGTGTGCGTGTGAATATGTGTACTGGGTGTGCGCGCGTGTGTATTGGGTGCCGTACGCACCTGGTACAGGTTGTCCATCTGAGCTGAGATGGCCTGGTACATGGGGTCGCCCTGTGCGAGTCGCAAGCTCTCCAAAAAGGGAAGCAGCGCCTCCTGGTGTAAGGGAGGGGAGGAGCGGTAACGGTGGGGTGTGGAGGGTGAGGGAAAATGCAATGCGGGTGGGGTACCTGTGCGGCTAGATATCACTGTTCATGGGGACTAGAACGGCCGTGTCGTACAGTGGCTCAGATAGGATGGATATACGCCGCGGTTGTGACCACGAAATTCGGTAGTAATATGTCTATGATCCGTTGAGCAGCGCCCTGGACAAGTCGACAGGCTTGTAGGGTCAACTCGCGGCTCGGCACATAGAACGGAGGAAGGCAAAAGTACGCTGCATCATACGTTGTGATAACCAATTGCGGAACGCAGACCTATTCTGACGCTGCATGGGGAAACTGTCCCTCTGGAAAGGATAAGAGGGGGAACGGTGGCGCGTTTACACAAGTACAACAGCAGCGCCCAAGATGTCAACTTCAGAGGTTAACTTGGGCGACCATATCGGAATTTTACTTGATGCTTTGGTACACTTCAGCATAGTGGAGGCGGCATATTGGAGTATACCTCATGCTGTCTCCCCAATTGCGACGCGGTTGCCTCTGCGTTGTTCCTCGCAAGCATAGTGCCGTCCGAGTTGCCTCCAAGACCTGATACATGGAATTGCAACTATTAGCGGACAGTTTCGAATTTCGTATAGTGTTAAGGACGTTGTGACGTGCCTGCAAGCTGCGTAGCTCGGAGAACATCGGAGGAGTCCTGCTGAAAGAGGGGGTTCCTTGCATATATTTGTTCGATACGGACTTGTGTACTCATAGGCAAAAGCTCGTCCGTCATCTTAATATGACACCGGGCTGGTCATCATTGGCCCGTGTCCAGCAGCTTACAGGCTTCATTGCTCATACTTCTATATTACTGAGCCGTATGCTATTTGTCACGACTAATGTTTTGTAAGGGTTCCGAGGGGCGTGCTCAACAAGAACCCAGCCACTAACTGTCAACTTAGCGATGAGGTGCATGTATCCACCAGAAGCGCTGTATGACTCATGGAACATATAGCTTCCTATACAAGTTCGTTTCTGTTGTCAAACTGCACGGTTGAGAGTCACCGACGTCTCAACTTCCAACGCTCTGCTTTCGCGTCACCTGTCGTTCCTTGTAACAAGCCCTTGACACTTTACCACACATAAACGTTCAACCGCCATGCCTTTACAGAGGCTACATGTCCAGGCTCGGGACGCGGGATGGCAGGGCGAATGGTGCAACCTCCGTTCACTGCGGCCCAACTTGGGCTCGGATCCCGGAACCTTTCCCAAAGCCTAAACCTCGGCCCATAAGCCTGCTCTAATCTGCTATATACCCCTACACAACCTCTTCCACACACACCGTACCAAACCAACAAACACCTACCGATAGCACTCACTGCCACCCGGGCGCGCTGTCCGCTCGTCCATCCTTTACAGGATACCAATGCCACCGCCGACACCATTTCCACCACTACGCACCGCCCTGTCCGTCCCTTTCCAGCCAAGCCAAGGGTACAGCCAGGGGCTCATCACCCCACCAGCTTTTTCTCAGCACAATGAGGCGGGCTTTCGTTTCTTTTCAAGAAGTTTCATTTCCGCTGCCTCGACCCAACCGCTCCAACCCCCACTGCAATGATTTCCTCTTCCAAGGTTCCTCTGGTCGCGCGGCCCTGCCCACCACCCAAATCCTCTCGCAGCGAGTAACAGTATGTAACGGAAACGAAAACGAAACGGGGCCTCGTCGCCAACCCAGAGCCCTCTTAGCCCTCTTAGCTCTGAACCCAACACCATGTGTTGTCGAGCCGCTTCGTCTTCCGTCGCCAACCGTCTTCAGCCCCAACCCGAATCCCAACCTACAACCGATTGAAATCTTCAACGGCCCTCACAACACGCAACCGCCCCTCAAGATGTCACCCCTCAAGGTGGGACAAGAGCCCCTTGCACAGAACCCCGAAGC